AGTTATAATGTTGAAAGCTTATAGCTAATGCTTGCACAGCATTTTCCAGAATACACAGTGTTTTCAAGCTCATCTTGTTTGGTCCTTGCAAGAGTTGGGTGCAGAAGGTACTGTAACCTTACTGGTTGTCAGGAGAGGAACCCTATGCCCATAGCTACAATAACTCTGATGGGGCAGTTAGATGGTGCCTTACATTTGTGGGCCCTTCCAAGCATTGTTCTCTATCATCTTATTCATGTACTGCTTACACTATAGATATTTTAAAAATTTCAGTTGGCTGTATTATTATTTTGACTTACTCTATGCTTCAAACTCTCAAGGCTGTCTTAATCTACATGGGTCAGTCCCAGCTTACAATGCTGTGGGGAAATAGGCCCATCTAAGAGCTGAGGCTGCCCACCTTAACTTTGGCAGGGAAGGGACAGAGCCCTGGAAAATCTAGGTATGGAGGACTGGTGCCTCTGAGAGTCAGAGGACATCCAGAGTGGGTATGGATGCAGGGAGGGTGACTTTACTGGCATTTTCAAAGCAGGAAGCATCTCAAGGAAGAAGCTCTGAGAGTCTTTTTTCAGGGCCTCCTATGTATCCAACTGGTATGTCCTTTCCTTTCTCTTCTCCTGGTAGCCAAGTCCTTGTACAAGTTGAATGTCCTTTATCCAAAATGCTTGGGACCAGAAGTGCTTCAGATTTTAGATTTTGGAATATTTGCATTCTGTTTACTGGCTATGCATCCCGAATCCAAGATCCATTGAGCATTTTCTTTGAGTGACACATTGATGGTCAAAAAAGTTTCATATTTTGGAGCATTGTGGATTTTAGGTTAGGGGCTGTGGGATACTCAACCTGTACTCTCCATCCCTACCCAGGCTCTACCTCATACCCCCTCATGAAGCACTTTAGATCTTGTAAACATCAAGTGCACTGCTCAAGCCATGTCATTTTCCCTGAGGGCTTCACTTTAGAAATGACCCCTGAAGATGCCTAGGCAGTCACTGTGTGTGTCTGCATGTACAAGTGTCTTTGTGTGTGTGTTTACATTAAGCTTAAACTTTACACTATAAGCAACATACTGGTTTCAAATAATAAACTCTACAGATAATGCTATAATAAACTGCTCTACAAATTACTGCTTGGACTGCTTTATCCCTGGAATACCTGTTGCTATCCTCCTTTATCAATTCTATTCCTAATATTTTAGTATTTTTGCATCTATGTTGTTTGCTGTACTTCTCTCCTTCAAGTCATTCTCCTTCTCTTCTTTTATGATTGGAAAGACTTTTCCTATCTCCTGAACTTACATAAGAAAAGTCCTTACCTATGGAGACTGCTAAGATTTAGCATCATTTTAAGGGATGGAAGGCAAGGTCCTCCTAGGCATCTCTGTGCTCTGTTAAAAGCTCCCACACCACAGGGAAGTGGCAAGTAACTGGCGTCCCTTCAGACAGGCGGAGTAGCTACGTTAGGTATGTAGCCAGGGAGTTCCTGAATAGAGCTTAGAAACCAGAGTTCCCAGCTTTCCAGAGTACACCCCTAACCAGGCTCCGTCCACAAGATCTCTGAGACCAGCTCACCCTGAGCTGTGACTCCCTCTATGAAGCATCCTCTTCTCTTAGTCGGACGAGGCTTCTCTTTGTAGTCACTCTCCCCGCCATCTTTCCTTTTTCCTTATTTTTCGGAGCACCAAATCTTGAAAGGGATCATGTTTTTTTCTACTTTGCTTTGCCTTTCCAAAAGCTCAGATCCACACTGCGGAGCATCTCTAGCAACTGGCCTGGGTGGCCTGTAGTTCACGTGCCATCTCGCTTCTCTGCCCTCATCTTGCTGCTCTGCTTTTATTCTTCTCCGCCCCCACTTCCATGATGGACGTGCATTCTCCAACAGTGTATAATAGCTCCTGAGACATTCTTTTAGTGGTGAGATAAAATAATAAAAATGATCTCTATTTGTTAACTAAGCCATCTCACTAGTACCATGGCACATGGCCATGCATTTTATATTCACTTAGGAGCTGCTTGAAAAGATTAAGGAGTCTGTGTCATGAAGAGTATAAGTGAAGGGTCTTTCCGAGTGGCACTCTGGGTCCAGTTAAAAGTGGGCATGGCCTCTACTTGGTGGTTTTTGGATGTACCAAGTCACTCAGCAGGTTTCCCTAGATCAGAAGATACTC